GTATTTCTTATCTACCGAAAGATGTATTCCAGTACACGCCAAGACTTACTTACCTGTGAGGCATGATAATAGATCATTCATGATTATATTTAATTTTTCATTAATTTGCTAGCTTGCTGATCTCAAATAGGCTGGAAAGAATTGAAACATTTCCTTTTCGTAATCTAAGATATCTTGCTCAGCTGTGAGTAATTGATAAAATCATAAAACACAATTATCTCATAATATATTACTTATAATGCAGGGCTTTGTATAAAAACAAAATCAGTTACGTTGCCGAGGGATCACTTGAAAATACTAATAGGATCTATTACTTGTAAGCGTATTCATTTCTAAATATTTGTCCTTATTTCTTCTCTCTCTCTTCTTTTTCCTTTCTAACTTAGTCTGTTGTACTATTATTATTATTGTTATTATTATTGTTGTTGTTGTTGTTGTTTATTATTATTATTGTATTTACTGTAGTAATTTTAGTAGCTTTATTGTTTTGCATGCTATAGGCAATGGAATGATTTTCGGACAAACATAACACAAGACAACATGATAGTGTGTGATTGTTCTGCCCTTTGGCTTCAAGAATACTTGAGATCCAATCGTCCTTACTATGAGACTATCCTATGTGGCTATCCTATTGAGGTCAGAGGTCGAAGACTAAGGAGTGTGGACATAACTAATTGCAGTAAGCACTTCAGTGATAAATAAATATGATATAATTTTATTTAAAAGTAAATATAGTATAATATTTATTTTAAAAATATATGGTATGATATTTACTGAAGTGTTAAAATGCATTTTTAGTACTTTTCCTTTTTAGCTAAGGGATTGAAGGTATCAGTGACTCCATCATCAGAGGTTAATTATGTGCAGAGTGGTGCCTGTCTTGAGCTGCAGTGTAAAGCAAATCAAAATGTTGATGTAACTTGGAAAAGAATTGTTAAAGGATCTGAACAGTGAGATATACACACTAAACTTACAATAGTGACTGTAATAGAAAGTAGGGTTTTTGTCAAAAAAATCACCTTTGAACTCATTTTTGAGTAACTTTAAAAGCTCATTAAAAAATACAATTTTGATTGGAATCAGCTCAAACTTTCTACACAACATAAGTACATGCATATACATCAGAAAATGTGATAAAAATGAAGATTTCTCAACTTGTCATTTTTGCCTAAATTTGATCAACAACCCTGTACTATAGTACAGGGACTTCGGCCCCGTTTTTGAGTAACTTTAAAATTTCGTAAAAAATTCAATTTTGATTGCAATCAGCTCAAACTTTCTACACAACATAAGTACATGTATATACATCAGAAAATGTGATAAAAATGGAGATTTCTCAACTTGCCATTTTTGCCAAAATTTGGCTAACGACCCTGTACTATAGTACAGGGACTTTGGCCCCGTTTTTGAGTAACTTTAATAAATTTTTTTTAATCTAATTTTGATCAAAGTCAGCTCAAATTTTTTATGCAACATCAAATCATGTACTTGCATTAGAAAAAATTATTAAAACAAAAAATGTTCTTCTAGTCATTTTTGCCAAAATTTGGCCAACAACCCTGTACAGGCCTTTGTTGTACAGAGTCGTCGGCCTAATTTTTGAGCAATTTTAAAGATTCATAAAATTCACAAGAACATTGTGACTAATGTTTGGAGTTTTTTCATGTTAAAATGATTATTCTTTACTAAATAATTCATGCTCTTGCATAGGCAGCTATAGGCCCGGGCAAGCCAGGGCTTTGCCCTGGTAGTTTTTAACCAAAACTACACCCAAAGGGTGTGGTTTGTTATTATTAGGAGTGAGATCATCACTAGAATTCATTTTTTATAGCCACAACTGTCTACTCTAATGATCAGCTCCACTTTACAGTTATTTTAGTGTGGTAACTGGCTTTTGTGAGCTATCATAATGATTTTTTAGTCATTTTATTAATTGACCACACCCCCAATTTTTATAAATAATTAATGAGCCCTGGTTAATTCAAGATTCTGTAGCCGCCTATGTGCTCTTGGGCCCAACTTTGCAGCAAATTAGTTTATTATTGCAGTACATGCAGACTCTAAGTTCTTGTGTGTAGTATATTAATTTACTCAATAGGGCACTGGAGGAGGATCACTCTTCATTCTGTACTAATAAAAGTGTTGATAATTGTGGCAACACTGACACTGAAGGACTGCTAGTATTAAAGGACATTGCAGCTGCTGATCAAGGAATATATGTGTGTACAGCTACACTTGATAATGTCACTAGCTCTGTAATTCGACAAATTCAAATTGGAGGTGATTATTAAAATATTTTTTATTATAATTAATAATGATAATCAGAGCCTCCTGTGATTAAGAAGAGTCCTATTAGTGTGGTTGCTCGTGATCCTCCATCTTACGTTATTTTTGAAGCAGCAGCAAGAGGGAACCCACCACCAGTACTGAAGTGGTATCACAACTCAAATGAAATTGACTTCAAAAATACCACAAAGTAAATCAAAATTAATAAGTACACTAATCTAATTTTACATTGATTGTATTAATACAATGAATACTTGGATTAAAATCTTTATTATTATTGTTACTATATGTTTTATTTCCATAATATTACATGTTTTTTAATCATTATTATTATTATAGGATGTATTTGACCAGTAATGGGTCATTGATAATATTAGGTCCTCAGTTTGAGGATAATGGTCAATATAAAGTAGTGGCAGACAATGGAGCAGGATCAGTAGAAGCAGCTGCCAGTCTTACAATATACTTCAGTAAGTCCTACTATTCTGTAGAGAGTAGTGGGCATAGTTCAGAAGCAGCTTAAGCTCAAACTTTCTATAAAGCAAAAGAGTATTAATATGTACATTTGCATAATTGATGTTTGTGTTAATTACAGGGTCAGCCTGCAATAGAGGGTCTGGTTGCTCTAATGATGGACAGTGTCTCCCAGTACATTACTGCAGGTGTCCTGATGGATATTCTGGTGATGGATGCGAGGAAAGCCAGGAAAGTACGTTATTTATAATTTGAATAAATTTATTTTACTTTTCT